GAATTTACCCTCACAACACCCTTTCTATTCATGAGGAACCTAAGGGACAGGAGAATTTATCCTCACAACACCCTTTCTATTCATGAAGAACCTAAGGGACAGGAACTGCCCAAATCTGTGGCAAAGCCAGGAAAACAACCCAGACCTCCTTGCTCCTGGTCCTATTCTCTAGTCACAGTATTATCCTTCATGTGATGGCCCTGTGGGGGTGTATGCACACCCCCATCTCCTGCCGGGGTTGATAGTGGGTGTGTGGACACCATGGTTATTGTCTGCCCGACTGTCTCGGACCTCACCACACTGAGGTTCAAGAGTCAGAGTGAAAGCAGCGGTCCTTGGGTCCAGGGCTGCGTGACCTAGTGACCAGAATCAATACAGCAGCCCTTGTGTTCAGGATAGTGTGGCCTAGTGTCCAGAGTCAATATAACAGCCCCCAGATACAGGGCACTATGGCCTAGAGGCCAATACCCAAGGGGCCACCACCAGGGGTATGGCAGCCTGGGTAGGGGGACCCAGACCCACCCGACTGCACCGGGCCCCAAACCAGGGCCCTATCTGTGGTGAAGTGGTCTGCCACTGGGTCAGCAGGGAATCCAACCAAAACACACAGACCTTGCATGAGTTGAAGATACCACTTGCCCCACTCCCTGGGTCACTTCCTACCATGCTTCCTGAAGCTGTAGTCAATGGGGTATCAGGGTCTCCAAGCTCCTCAGCATGGATAATTCCCTGGGGCTCCACTGGCCACAGATCTCCAGTCTGGTTCTCGGGATCTCCGGCTCCCGCAAGCAAGGGCTGTGATGGTTCCTCAGCTAGAGACTCCACCAAAGATCCTCCCTCACCGGTGATCAGTCCCGACTGAGCCGGGCTGCTCCCTTTTGTACTGGCATAGCACTTGGAGCATGCCCAGTACGGTCTGAGGGGTGGGACTCCCTCCACCCATAGTGTGGTGTTAACCCCTTCTGGCCCAGGCCGGGGTACGCACACCCCGTCACAGGCCCCAGTTCAGCAAAACACTTAAGTACATCAATGGGACACGAACATGTGCATAAACCTGATCATGTTCTTAGGTGGTTTGTTGAATAGGGATGGTTTGAAGAATTGAAGACATTATGCTGTTCCTTCTTTCTTCCATCACCACTCCAGAGCACTCTTTCAGTCTGGGATCTCCTTGGGCAATATTTTTTGTTATAGCCCCCAGCTGAGTCTATTTCCTCTGTCAAGTCAGTACTACTGCTGTGCAGTTCAGCTGATCTACTGTATTTTAACGGACTGCATTTCCTTTACAGCTGTACATCAATGAGGCACCTATAAATTACACAAATATTGCAACTGACAAAGGTGTTATCCATGGATTGGGAAAAATTCTGGAAATACAGAAGAACAGGTGTGATATCAATGATACTGTGATTACAACCGTAAGTTATGTCTTGTTTGAGATTGTTGCTTTAAAATTTGTCATAGATGTTAGTACGAAAATATAACTAAGGCATATTGGACATACTGCATTGTATTGAGCAGTCAAAAATGTTTGAATTTTCCACAACAAACTCCTGCAGTAGCTTTGATATCATATAAAAACTACTTTGATTCTGCAGTCAGTATATTAACAGCCTGAATACAATAACAACATCACAGCAGTAAGCCCACTGTCCCCGCCAGATTTCAGTATATCAATATGGGCCCAAGTTAACCCACCGCTTTAATAACCACTGATTGGATTTTGTCCACTTTTGCTTAATGAAAATACCTTCTGAACAAAACTTTTTACAGGAGAGAAGTTCCTCTTTCCATTCTGAGATGTAAATTCCTTCTACACACATCCATTCCCATTCTTAACCGCTAACAAAGGCATTCCTGCCCATTGTGTTCTTCACATAGATCAGACCAATTGACAAATTGCAATGACCAGGGCTTAATTTGTAATAAAAGAAGTGCCAGGGCTCAAGCAATTTTTTTACATTCATAACTGATGCAGCAAGCCCAGAGGTGCCGGGGCTATGAACTGCCCAAGCCTAGAGGTGCCCTGGCACAAATTAAGCACTGGCTCTACCTTCCTCTGGAGAACAGGATGTGGTTTTCCATGGGGCTGACAGTCGTAGAATCATAGAATATCAGGGTTGGAAGGGACCTCAGGAGGTCATCTAGTCCAACCTCCTGCTCAAAGCTGGACCAATCCCTAGACAGATTTTTGCCCCAGATCCCTAAATGGCCCCCTCAAGGATTGAACTCTCAACCCTGGGTTTAGCTGGCCAATGCTCAAACAGTCAATGGTTTCCTTCCTGGAGAGGCAAATAGGACAGCCCATAGACAGTTCACTTTGCTTGTTCTTAAGGCTGGCATGGCACAGAAATTAGACTTGGAAAAGGCATTTTACTATGCAAGATTTGTGCTTTTTCCAGTTCAAATTTAAGTGACTCAAGCTTTGGTGCTTCTGTTATTTGCCTGGGGAGACTATTGCACAAACTAGCATGTTTTGCTGTCAGGCAAATTTTCCTAGAAGCCTACATTTCCCTTTGCTCAGTCTTACACCAGGATTCCTCAGTATAGACACTTGGATCCCCCTAGAAAACTCTTCCCCAACTAGGGCCCTGCTTCAGCAAAGCACTTAAGCATGTCCTTATGTCCCTTTTAAGTCAATGGTACTTAAGTATGTGCATAGCTGAATAGGAGTGGTCATAAGTATGTGCTTAAAGTTAACACATGCTTAAGTGCTTTGCTGAAGCAGGGTTTATGTGCATAGCTGACTCTACACCAATAGGGATTTCCCCTGTGAGAAGGGAATCCCTAGCTGTCCTGCTAAGGCAGGGGTGGCCAACCTGTGGCTCCGAATCCACATATGGCTCTTCAGAAGTTAATATGTGGCTCCTTGTATAGGCACCGACTCTGGGGCTGGAGCTACAGGTGCCAATTTTTCAATGTGCCGGGGGGTGCTCACTGATCAACCACAGGCCCTACCCCAACTCCACCCCTTCCTGCCCCCTCCCCTGAGCCTGCAGTGCCCTCGCTCCTCCCCCGCCCCCCCAGAGCCTCCTGCACCCCACAAAACAGCTGATCAGCAGGTGTGGGGAGGGAGGGGAAGGCGCTGATCAGGGAGGTGCTGGGAGCTGCCGGGGGGGGAGCTGATGGAGGGCTGCTGATGTATTACTGTGGCTCTTTGGCAATATACATTGGTAAATTCTGGCTCCTTCTCAGGCTCAGGTTGGCCACCCCTGTGCTAAGGCAACTCACCATTACCCTTGTGCTGCCTGAGTAGGATGCAGGGGTAGAGCCAAGGATGAGGATCTGTCCCCTAATGTTATTGCTATGAGGAACTCTTTGGGATGGATTTCCTTTGGCTGTTGGGCCTGTAGAGCCTTTACACTTCTCCACAATGAGAGTTCTTTGGTAGGAATCTTCTCATGGGAAATCCCTACAGTCCTGCTGTGATATACGCCCTACATTGCCGGGCAATCCAGCTGGAGTGGTAGTCTTTGATGCTTAGTAGGGCTGTCAAGCGATTAAAAAAATTAATCGCGATTAATCACACTGTTAATAATAGAATACCATTTATTTACATATTTGTGGATGTTTTGTACATTTTCAAATATATTCATTTCAATCAAAACACAGAATACAAAGTGTACAGTGCTCACTTTATATTTATTTTTGATTACAAGTATTTGCATTATATAAAAACAAAAGAAAAGTATTTTTCAATTCACCTAATACAAGTACTGTAGTGCAATCTCTTTATCATGAAAGTTGAACTTACAAATGTAGAATTATGTACAAAAAAAACCTGCATTCAAAAATAAAACAATGTAAAAATTAAGAGCCTGCAAGTCCACTCAGTACTACTTCTTGTTCAGCCAATTGCTCAAACAAGTTTGTTTACATTTGCAGGAGATAATGCTGCCCACTCTCGTTTACAATGTCACCTGAAAGTGAGAACAGGCATTCTCATAGCACTGTTGTAGCCAGCATTGCAAGATATTTACATGTCAGATGAGCTAAATATTCATATGTCCCTTCATGCTTCAACCACCATTCCAGGGGACATGTGTCCATGCTGGTGATGGGTTCTGCTCAATAACAGTCCAAAGCAGTGAGGATCAACGCATGTTCGTTTTCATTATCTGAGTCAAATGCCACCAGCAGAAGGTTGATTTTCTTTTTTGGTGGTTTGGGTTCTGTAGTTTCCGTATTGAAGTGTTGCTCTTTTAAGATTTCTGAAAGCATGCTCCACACCTCGTCCCTCTCAGATTTTGGAAGGCACTTCAGATTCTTAAATCTTGGGTCAAGTGCTGTAGCTATTTTTAGAAATCTCACATTGGTACCTTCTTTGTGTTTTGTCCAATCTGCAGTGAAAGTGTTCTTAAAACAAACATGTGCTGGATCATCGTCCGAGACTGCTATAACATGAAATATATGGCACAATGCGGGTAAAACAGAAAAAGGAACATACAGTACTCCCCCCAAGGAGTTCAGTCACAAATTTAATTAGCACATTTTTTTAATGAGCGTCATCAGCATGGAAGCATGTCCTCTGGAATGGTGGCCAAAGCATGAAGGGGCATATGAATGTTTAGCATATCTGGCACATAAATACCTTGCAATGCCGGCTACAACAGTGCCATGCGAATGCCTGTTCTCACTTTCTGGTGACACTGTAAATAAGAAGTGGGCAGCATTATCTCCTGCAAATGTAAACAAACTTGTTTGTCTTAGCGATTGGCTGAACAAGAAGTAGGACTGAGTGGACTTGTGGACTCTGAAGTTTTACATTGTTTTGTTTTTGAATGCAGTTATGTAACAAAAGAAATCTACATTTGTAAGTTGCACTTCAGGACAAAGATTGCACTACTGTACTTGTATGAAGTGAATTGAAAAATATTATTTCTTTTGTTTATCATTTTTACAGTGCAAATATTTGTAATAAAAATAATACACACTTTGATTTCAATTACAACACAGAATACTATATGAAAATGTAGAAAAACATCCAAAATATTTAATAAATTTAAATTGGTATTCTATTGTTTAACAGTGCAATTAAAACTGCAATTAATCACAATTAATTTTTTTTAATTGCGATTAATTTTTTTTTAGTTAACCGTGTGAGTTAACTGCGATTAATCGACAGCCCTAATCCTTAGTTTTCCAAAGTGATGATCTTTCACTGTTTTATATCTCCTGATTCCCCCAAGGGCTGGGAATAGAAACATAGGTTGAAACTATCTGCAGTAGTGTAAACCTTTAACTGTGTACCCCTGTGTGTTTGCCAAGGAAAAGTGCAACCTGTGTTCGTATCGATCACGCTGCCCTCCTGGAACTAAAGAATTTGTAAGTATTTTATAATTAACCTTAAGTGCACATAGTTTGTATCATTGTCAATTCTAATACAGAGAGAAATTAATGGGCCAAGTTTATCCCATGTGGAAACCCATTAATTTCAATGGAGTTACCTCAGTGAATTTGGTCTATTACATTTATTTAAATTATTCAGACCCAACAGCCCTTGAGTCCAGCTGAGCCATTCTTGCCTCGGGCCCCAGGAGGGTGGGAACAAGGTAATTTAAAGATAACTTTATGCTCCCCCAATCCCTGAGCCAGTTCAGGCCCTGGCATACATTAGAGCCTTCTCAAGACTGCTCTAAACAGTGCTGGCTAAAAGGCAAAGCGCTCTGGCCAGGGTCCCTCCCAATCCCTACATTGGGTGGGAGACTGGGAATAGAACAGAGCCCACTATACTGGCTCTGGGGCAGCTGGGGAATCTTCTATGCAAAAGAAAGCCTTATAGGGCAGCTTTGGGGTCCATTTGCATCATGAGAGTGGAGTAAAGGGGCACATGATCTGGCGCTAGGTGAGGGATTAATGTTATAGTGTGTTTTGAACATTTAATGAGAATTCTTTTTCTTTTCCATCTCCCAGTTATCTGTTTCATACACATTTCATTTTCTGGCCAGTGAGGATACATCAGTGGCAAGATAATATCCTTGGGAAGCCAAATAGTCCCTAGGAGTTATATCATCCTGGGATTTTATTTATGGGCAGACTGCTCTTTAGGATTAAGATTTAAATTAAATCTTTAGGATTTAAGGAATCTAGATTAAGTATGAGTAGATTTTGCTGTATACCTTTTCTTATTATTATTATTATTTATTATTAAGGCCAAATAATTATGTCAGTAATGTGATTACAAAAGTCTACACAATTACTGTAAACTTCCCTCCACTTTATTCAGATAATTGGTTAGCAAAGCCATACTAAAATAGTGATGGACAAACCTCAAGAATTTTGGCATTTCAGTTCTAAAAAATACCCAGGTGACTGGATGTTTATCTGAATTTGGGACTACAAAATTAGGCTGGCTGTCTTATGAGAATGGGCTTTCCCAAGATTGTTAGCATTTCCTGCTTCGGTTCAGGCCTAGAATAACGTAAAGACAGCCATTTTCACAGTATTTTGGCACATCCTTCTTCAGAAACAACTAGGAAGTTCAGAAAAGTGCCAGAAAAGAAAAATAAAGACCTAAAGAAATTATATTTTTCAAATTTCAAAAAAGCTTCAGTTCAAATTTTGGACAAAGGTGACTAGTTTTAAATTGAGGTGGTTTGCACAGTGGCACTTGGCTAAGTTGACTGTAAATTATTTAGCTAATTATCTGTTTGCCTACTTTATTTTTACATCAGAGAATATTTTCTTAGCATATGTTATGAACATATTTACCAACACGGGCTGACTATTTACAGATGTACAGAGTATATTGTTTACACAAAGTTGACACCCTTTTTAAATGTCTAAAAATCGTTGTGCGATATCAAACACTGAAGCAGTTGTCTTGCCAACTTTTGTACAGCTAGGAGAGAAGAAATATTGCATCTATACTGAAAACTTTATGGGAAGGACATCCATTCATATTGGATGCCTGCCAAAGTGCATTAAAAATATCATTGTAAGTATTATTATTCATTATTGTTATTTATGATGTGTTTTGTGGTGGCCCTTAGGAGCCCCACTCGTGGTCCAGGACCGCGTTGTGCCAGGTGCAGTACAAACACAGTACAAAAAGGCAGTCCCAGCCCCATGATTTAAGGACTTGCTGAGTAGGCCTCTTTATCAGAATAGCTTCCAGTTACGGTGAGTGATCAGAAGTTTAATAGGGTGGGTTGGAACATTTTCGTTGAAAGTTTTCTGTTGAAAAATGCTGTTTAGATTAAAACAAAATTTTTCACAAAAATAATAGAGATTTTAATTTAAAAATTGGGGGAAAAAACGGTTGTGAAAATGGCAAGCCATCCAATTGTGACATTTCCAGAACAGAAAGCAGTTCAGCAGCGGGGGACTGTGCAGGGATAGGGAAGGGGAGCAGAGGTTAGAGAACAGTAACTCTTTGAAACTTCTTGCAATAGCAATCCCTACACGCTGCACTGTGGGGAGCACAGGAACTAATTGGATTCGCTCCCCACTAGGGAGCAGGAGTCTGAAAAGGAAGCAGTCAGAGGTGGAGCCATGGCCCAGCCTTCTCCACATTAGGCCATAGAGCAGGGCTGATCCACTGCACGGGGAAGTCATCTGCTCTACGGCTCACCTGCCCATGCATAAGAACCAGCCCCAGGACAGATTGTGTTTCTCTAGTGAGATCTCTGGCACTTCTGCTGGAGCACTGTGATTCTGCACTGTCCCCTACACAGGGAAGTGGCTTAAAAGCCCCAATTCTAACCTTTGTTATGTTGTTTCTCCATTTCAGACCAGAGAATGCTGTGCAGGTTTCTTTGGTCAACAATGCCAGCCCTGTCCAGGGAAAAGTGGAAATGCCTGCTTTGGAAATGGCATCTGCTTGGATGGTGTTAATGGCACAGGCGTGTGTGAATGTGAAGAGGGGTTTAATGGAACAGCCTGTGAGCAATGTATTGAAGGCAAATATAGTCGCAACTGCAATCAAGGTAATTAATGACTCCAGACAATGCAGATATCGTCTCAAATCTTGACAGGTGGAAAGTTGACCAGCCAGAAATCTCTGAAATTATTTCAGAATTCAGTGGCCATATGATTCAGCTCTCTCAACCCTCTGCCTCGATATCCTCTCAATGCTCTAGGCCTTAATTATCTTCCCACTTACACTGGTGTAAATCAGGAATAACTCCACTGAAGTCACTGGAGCTACAACTGTGTAAAAATGGCATAAGAGGGAGGGAAATCAGCCTTTCTTTACATGCATACATATTATATAAAATGTAGTGAGAGAGGGGATATTTGCAGGCTCTTGGGGAAGACTATACCCAGTATTGCCAACACCAAGTGTTCAAAAATTGAGTCACAGACAAAAAAAATAATGACTGGCTCTAGAAAATTGAGGGACGTATTTCTTTGTTTGTTTGTTCTTGAGCCCTTAGGTTACACACAAGTCATATTTTTGAGTTTTTCTCTGCCGCCATGAGGGTTGGAAACTTACTTATTTTTAAATGAAAGCTGAGATTCTCTCATGATTACGTTATTAACAGGATCTGGGCCTTTATGAAAAATAGCAAATACCATGAAATTGAAATAAAGTTGCAAAGAGTTCACAACACTGTACACCATATAGTTTAGTTTAAAATTAAGAAGTCTGAACTTAAGCCTTCCACCCAAGAAGGGGACAATCTCTTTCCCTCTGACCCATCTAGGTTCACCCCTTTACCCACAAAGCACTCTTGTCATTACTGTATTTCCACTACTAGCATCCTTAGGCCACGTGCCCACATTACACTGGGCCAGTCTCATGCATGACACCACAACAGCGCCTTCTCTGACCCTACTGGTGGTGGTTTTCCTCTGCTCTGCTTTTCACAGCACTTTTCTGCTCATTGACTCCACCTGCTGAGCCTGCATATCATTGCCTTGGTCTAGCAGCTAATGGCAAGACAGGATGTGTGTGTAATCTTCCCCTTCGTGCTCTTTTCACCTCTCATCTCTGTCATTTCCAGTTAAAAAGTCCTAACTGGAAACATTAACTTGACAGTGATACAATTATGCTTTTAGATTTATTCTCTGCTAAATGGCAAACAGACACGCCACGCACATTTCTCTAAATAGATTGCTACTCACTAAGAGGGATTTTCAAAGGCAGGAAAGGGGAATTAAGGCATGGGCAAGCTGCTCAAGTACATGACAAGGGTCCTAGATGTGCTTGTCCAGCCCATGTTGCTGCCCATGCTGCCGTGGCTTCACTGCTGTATCTACCTGTGTGTTGCAGTCACACATCTGATTGGGAAGAGGGAAGAGTTTACAAGTAAGTTTATTGCAAAGGCATGTGCATTCTGCACTGGGGGAATGGGCTAAAATCAATGTAGAATCCATGCACATTATTTTAAATCCATACCTAATCAAAGAAAATAGTGACTGTATATATGTAACATTCTACCAGTCATTGGAGGCAGGAAACAGTCGAATGCTTGCATAGTGTTGGTAGGACAGGATGGTCATAAATGAAGGCAAATATCCAGACCATTATCCGTTGAGTCATTTATATTCTTCTGTGTATGAAAATATTATAGGCATCTCTACTAAATGTCTATATACTAGAGATATACAACTGAGTAAAGTACATTAGAAAACGGAGTGTGTAGGAAGAGTGCAAACAGGCGACCCATCTAATGTCTCAGTTGTTGCTCTGCTATGCACAGTCTATGTTACACTGCATATTTTAAGTGGTTTACTTACATCTGTGCATTTAGAATGTACTTGTGTCCATGGGAAATGCAGCAGTGGGATTGAGGGCGATGGCTCCTGCGAGTGTGACGTTGGCTGGAGAGGTGTGAAATGTGAGAGCGGTAAGTGTGCCTTCTCCTTTCTCTGACGTAGTTAGTATGTGTTCTGGAATGCAGAGCAGTGGCAAGGAATACATCCCAATGCACTGTGTACTTAAGGTTCTCTCCCACAATACCAGGTAACAAGCAGCCTCCCAAGGCTACAGAAAGGCAATGAGACCCTCAGCCTGACTGTGAA